CAGATCTTACGAGCTGTGTAACTTTGGCCCAGTCACAACCTCTGCCTGTTTTAGTTCCCTAAACTATAAAAATGAGGATGATAATAGCAACCTACCTCCTGTAGTTTTTGTGAGCATCAAATGAGATGATAATTATAAAGTGTTTAACACAGTGCCTGACACATAATAGGCTCTATATAAATGTTTATGATGACGATGATGATGACATGCTTAGCCCAATACTTGGCACATAGTAGGCACTTAATAAATTTTTGTTCCTTTCCTTTCCTTTCCTCCCTTGATTTCCTTGTCCTCCTAGATACTCTCTTTTCTCTGGGATTTCATGACACTGCTCTTTTCCTGGCTCTCCTATCTCCATCTCCTTTACTCATTCTTTTGCTGCTGATCATGAGTATCCACCAAAGCTCAACCCTGAATCGTTTTTTTCTTTTTGCTTTGTGTTCTCTCTCACTTAGGGATCTTATCAGTTCCCACATTTATTTATCATCTCCCTGCAGGTGATTTCCGTATCTATAGTCTAGCTCTAGTCTCTGTTATTAGCTTGCAGTCACCTATCACCAGTTGCCTGAATGTTCCATGGGTATCTCAAATTGAGCCTAATACAAGAGCTCATTATTCTCCTCACCCCTACCTTCTTCCAGACTCTCCTGTTACTCTTAAGGGTTACCCTACCAGTCACCCAAGCTTGTAACCATAGTATTATCCTCAGCTCTTAACTCACACTCATACATCCAATTTTTTGACAAATCTTATAATTTTTAACTGTACTCTCTACCAACATAGCCACCATCCTAAATCAGTCTCTCATTACCTTTTTTTTTTTTTTGAGGGGGTGTGGAGGGTGAGGCAATCAGGATTAAGTGACTTGCCTAGGGTCACACAGGTAGTAAGTGTCAAGGGTCTGAGGCCGGATTTGAACTCAGGTCCTCCTGACTCCAGGGCCAGTGTTTTATTCACTGAACCTACGTGCCTCTCATTACCTCTTACCTAAACTACTGCTGTAGTCTTCTTGTTGGTCTCACTGCCCCACATCTCTCCCCACTTCAATACATCCTCCACACAGCTTCCATAGCAATTTTTCTAAAGTACAAGTCTAACTATGTCAGTCCCCCTACTCATTCAGCTCCAGTGGCTCTCAGTTGCTTCCAGGATCAAATACAAAGTCCTTTGGCATTTAGAGCTCTTTTGTAACAGGCCATTTTGTTTTTGTTTCTCACTTTTCAATCTTCATAACAGTTTAATACACTACACACATTCTCTCTCTCTTTCTCATTCAGCTGCTATACTGGCCTCCTTTACTATTCCTCACACACAATGTTCCATCTCCTGTCTCCATGACTTTCACAGGCTGTCACCTATTCCAGGAATAATAGTCTTCCTTCTCACCTTTGCCTCTTAGTTTTTCTGGCTACATTCAAGTGTCAGCTCAGATCCTATCTTCTGTAGGAGGCCTTTCCTTGTCCCACCAGTTGTTAGTGCTTTCTTGGCTGTAAGCCTATATTCTTTGCCTTCTGAAATATTGTATTCCAAGTTCTCTGCTCCTTTATGCTCGTGGCTGCTAAATCATGTATGATCCTGCCTATGACTCCTCAGTACTTGAATGTGTCTGATTGCTTATAGTATTTTTTCTTTTACCTAGAAGCTCTCTGGATTTTGGATGTGATATTCATGGGAGTTTTCATTTTGAGGTTTCTTTCAGGAAGTGACCAGTAGATTCTTTTTATTTCTACTTTGCCCTCTTTTTCCAAAAATATGTGGGCAATTTTCTTTTAAAATTTCTTGGAATAGGATGTCAAGGCTCTTTTTTTGGTCATAGTATTCAGGTAGTCCAGTGATTCTTAATTTTTTTCTCCTTGATCTCTTTTCCAGTTCAGTTTTTGCTACAAGATACTTTACATTTTCTTCCATTTTTAAGTATTTCGGCTTTGTTGCCTCATGAAGTCATTGGCTTCTTTTTGGTCCATTCGAATTTTCAGGTAGTTTGTTGTTTGGGTAAGGTTTCGTATCTCTTGTGTTAAACTATTAATTTCCTTTCCAGTTCTTTCTTTCATAGCTATCATTTTCACCCCAATTTTTTCCTCCAGCACTCTCATTCCATTAACAAAAAATTTAATCTCTTGTTTTATCTCTTCCAGGAATTCTAGTTGAGTTTATGCCCAAACTGTTTTTTCTCTGAGGTATTGCTTGTAGATGTTTTGGAGTCATGGTCTTTTCCTGCATTTGCGCCTTGAGGGTCTCTGCCACTCAATGTGATAATAGCTCATTAGCGTGTGGTTGTTTTTTTTTTTTTTGTTTTGTTTTGTTTTGTTTTTTTGGGTTAGCTCATTCTTCCAGCCTACTTCCTGACTTTGGACTTGACATTAAAGCTGGGCTCTGGGTTAGTCCTGTGACTGCGTTTTGGTGATATTTGAGTGTTCCAGGATTTCAGGGACAAGCTGAGGGCTTGGCAGATTTTCAGTCTCAGAGGAGTCTGATCCAAGGCAAAGTCTCATTGCTGTCCCCTTGGTCTGAGCCCTGCAAGTTCCTGACCTGGATTTGAGTCTGTGCAAGCATAGCCTGCTGCTGTTGGTTCAAAGTGGGGAAGTTGTAGACTCTCCTTTGACCTGAGCTTCTTGCCTTGGTTATTTCTTTGCAGTCTGGAATAGTTGCTAGAAGTTAAACCCTGTTTTGTGCCTGAGATCTGAGCCATACTGCTGCTGGCTTCTGAACTTCCTCCTTTCTTTGTACACTGCCCAGGCTCAGGGGTCTGCTTGATGGGGAAGGCCACTGTCCCACAGTTCCCCTTCTCATTCTGTCCTGGATCTTTGACCTGAGACTGGGTAGTGAGTGACAGATCTGCCAGTCGGCACCTGTTCCCCTTGAAGTGCTCTGGTACGTGTCTGGGGGTGCCCTAGTATGAGTCTGGGACCTCTTTTTATGCTGGTGTGCAACTTCTCACAGGGTACTGAAGTGTTTCACCCTAGGTTCCTACCCCAACTCTGTCCCCAATGTCTGCAGATTTCTTTGTCTCTCTATGTAGACTTGGCCCAAAGAAAAAGCTCAATGTGGCTTTTAATGGATTTCTCCGTCAGAATTTGGTCTGATTGTGTGTGTGTGTGTTTGTGTGTTTGTATTTTTCTTTTTGAGGCAATGGGGGTTAAGTGACTTGCTCAGGGTCACACAGCTAATGAGTGTTAACCTGTCTGAGGCTGGATTTGCACTCAGGTCTTCCTGACTCCAGGATTGGCGCTCTATCCACTGCGCCACCTAGCTGCTTCCTGGTCTGGTATATTTTATGCATCTCTTTGGAGGAGTTGTGGAGGGAATCCCAGTTGCATTACTACCTTATACTCTACTATCTTTGCTCTCCTCCCACCCTCCCCACCCCTCACCACACTATAGTTATTGGCATATTGCCTCTGTAGTTAATGTTATCTTGAGAAAAGAAACTATTTTTACCTTTATATTCCCAACATTTAACAGGGTGCCTGGCTCATAATAAATGCCTAATAAATGCTTTTTGATTGATGGAGAATTTTTTATGTCTTGCCTTTGTCATCCATCATGGGAAATAGCCCTCCCCACTTTGTGTTTTCTAGTGAATATGATAAGCATGCCCCCTCATTTCTCACCTGGTTATACTACTTTAGGACTTTTCTACTGTGCTGCAGTATCTGGTACCTTCCTCTCCCCCTGTTTCTTAGCTCCTTTTGTTTGTTGTCTTCCCGCAATAGGTTATAAGCCCCTGGAGGGTAGGTGTTTTTGTTTGTTTGTTTGTTTGTTTGTTTTGGTATCCCAGTGCTTAACACTGTGCCTGGCATATAATAAGGTGCTTAATAAATGTTTATTGACTATCTTTGTCTTTATCCATGTAATTAGCAAACAAGTTTTTACAGTGTAGGACCAAGGACAGATCCCTGGAATGCCCCATTAGAAAACTTTTGCCAACTTGATATAAATATATATATATATTAGTGAATATGCCTTATTGTTTTTCCAAAATCTATATATACTGTGTATATAGCATTCCTTTAATTTTTTTCTGGGTAATTAATCATTTTGTTAATTATAGCTAGCAAATAATAAAAGGATGGCCACTTGGCTTTCTCTTATAAGTCAAAGACAAATCGTGGAGGCCTTTCAATGCTTGTATGCCCTTGGAAGAGTCTTAGGTTCCCACAAGCAGCAACCAACTGATTGGTTAACAATGAGAGAATGAATATTATAATGAAAGGTAAACCTATTCTATAAGGGACTGGAGGACAGAGTTTGATTATGTCACCTTACTCCTCTCTACCCAGACCAGCCCCAGCCTTAGGCAATCGCCCAGCTGAGTAGAACTAGTAGAACTAAGTAAGGCTAGAATTCACCTAGATTAGATTCTAGTTGTAAGATTTTCTAGTTGGACGGGGTAACAATTCTACCTAGAGAAGATGGTCTAGATGAGGTAAATTTTTAGGCAAGGTCAGTAATGCCCTCCAAAGACTGGCTGTATAACTTGCAAGGGGTTATTTCTGAATGGAAAATAGGGGGGAAAATCTTAATAATTGGTTATTAATATAAGAGATAAAAATTTCTCTCAAGTAGACTACATAAATGTGTGTATATTATATACACACATATTTTGTACATACATATATATATGTATGTATGTATATATATATATAATATTACGACATACAGATCAAGCATAAAGTAACCTTGGAAGGGAAGGCATTAGCAATTGGGGCAAGCTAGAAAAGCTTCCCACAGTAGGTGGTGCTCAGGCTGAATCTTGAAGGAAATCAGAAACTCTAGGAAGCAAAGGGGAGGAAGGAGAGTATTTTAGGCATGGGAGACACCCAGTGCAAAGGCCCAGAAATTAAAGATGGAGCATAATGTATCATTCCTCTAATTTTTACCTGATGAGCTTGTCAGTGGAACTTCTTGTCTTGAGCAAATATAAGCCTTTTTTCCTTTTATTTTAAAAATTGTTAATAATCATTCCAATGAATATAACAGAGTTTTGTTTTCTCTCATAGGTCACAGAAGATGATACTTCCAGTTCTCTTGCAAAAGATCACTTTTTCCAGCCAGAAACTGTTGTTACCAATGAGCCCTATAGAAGTTCAAACATAAGACCTTCACCCTTTGAAGATTTGAATTCCAGGAGAGTGTTCTTGCAGAGCCAAGCTAATCAAGTAAGAAGATGATGCATCTTTATCATTTGTTATATTAGTAAGATGATTAATATGTAATAGTATATATTTTTGTCTTATTCTATTACATGTACATGCGCGCGCACACACACACACACACACGCACACACACACATACCATAAGAGATCAGTCTATTCTTCTGTGTTATCTAAAGCGGTAGCAAAAATTCACTCTGATATTTAGATAACTAATTTAATGAGTTTCTTAGGATCTAGTCATTTTTATTTACATAGGTCCTTTGCTGTTCAGATTTTTTTTCACTGACTGAAATGAAGGCATAGAGGGCGTGCATTCTTGTCATAATTGAAAGTAACATAAAGCTAGGAGGAATAAATAGCTAACACATTGAATGACATAGGATTTTAAAAGATTTCAACAGTTTAAAACAGCTGATCCAGTTTAATAATAATAATAAGTTAATTTAAAAGGAATAAATGTAAAATCTTAAACTCAGATTTTTAAAAATCAGTTGTATAAGCCAGGACAGAACAGCCATGGCTATATGGCTGTTTAATGTGAAAAGAAGATGTGTGGATTATAGTAGACTGCAAGACCTTTTAGTATGACATGGCAGCCAAAAAGAGGTGATGCCACCCCATGACTGCATTTAGAGAACCATTGTGTCCACTAGGAAAAGGGACAATCTTAATGAGCTGGGCCCTGGAGGATACACCTGGAGTATTGTGGCCAGTTCTGAGAGCCACCTTTTAGGAAGATCATTGACAAACTGTGGCATATGCAAATGAGCATGACCAGAGTGGAGACACAGGTCACGTTATCACTGTTTTCAAGTATTTGGAAAAAAGTATATAGAAAATGAATTAAAATTTTTCCACTTGATTCAGAAGGCAGAAACTAGGACTGATGAGCAGAAGTTGTAGAGCGGCAGATTTTGGCTTGATTTCAAGAAATAAACTTGATAAAAGTTAGAGCTGTCCATACATGAAATAGGTTGCCTTTTTTAAACTCTGCTTTCAGCGCCTCTTTGCCTATTTTGTTTTCCTTGGACATGCCCTTTGATTTTGATTATAGTTCCATTATTGAAGGATTTGATTAGGAAGACACCACCAGACTGTGGATAGAGTACTCAGATGAGTTAATGGATACAAAGCAATTTGAAAATTTTAAAATATTACATAAATGTTAGTTGTTATTATTTATCTACTATATCATAACCTTGATCTAAAGTTTTCATTTGTCCATGTCCATGTCCATACAACTGAACCATGTTAAAATGGAGCATATAGTGAGAAAAGCTTCAAATTTGGAATCAGGTTTAAATCCTAATTTTGAGTGACAAAATTTTGAGCCACTTAACTGTGTGATCTTAGGTAAATCATTTCATCCATGCGTGTTAGTTTCCTCCCATTAAAAAAAAAATAAGGGAGTTGGACTATATTCTATATATCTTCTAGCTCTGACAGTCTGTGAATTGTGTGAATATTGCATAATGAAATACCTCGAGGTTATTTTTTTTTTAAAGGCAATTGGGGTTAAGTGACTTGCCCAGCTACACAGCTAGTAAGTGTCAGATGTTTCATCTGAGGCTGGATTTGAACTTAGGTCCTCCTGACTTCAGGGTCAGTCCTCTATCCACTGTGCCACTTAGCTGCCCCTCAAGGTTCTTCTTAAGGTGTTTTTATTGTCTTCTTTCTGCATAACATCAACATGTTACTGAAAAGTACTGAAGACAATATGTCCTAAACCCTTTTCTGTCTCTGATTATGGAGACTCATTATGCTTTCATAATTTTGGTGGTTCTTGTTTTCACTTTAGTTTCACTTGTTTTCAATTTAGTAAATGAAGTTGTACTCGGGGCTACATTTAATGTTTTCTTCAACCTCTGTCTTCATTTTTGGAAAAGATTCTGTATTCTTTTTACCTTTTTAAGTTTCAACAGAATCATTTTGAGAGTAGTTAGGTTCAAGTATTTTTATTTAAAGATTACAAACAGTGGTCATACTAGTTTTTACATTTTAGCTTAGATGATGCCCTTCTTTACAATTGTATGTAGTTTCACATTTTAATAGCTTTCAACACATTTGAAGAGATTCCAAGATAGAAGTACAGTAATGACATTTCAAGTGTTGGAAAACTGCATATAACTTTTGCATAGTTTTATTTTTGCCTAAACATGTAAAAGAATCTCATTAAAATGGGAAAAAAAACCATATTGTGATAGTTTGGTGTAAAACAAAAAAGCAAAAGGAGTTACCAGTCAACTCCATTTTTCAGCATAATCATTTGAACAGAGGTAGTTTTTTTTTTATCTGTTTGTCTTGAAAATATACAGTTGCTGCAATTAAAACTACTAGAATCACAGAATATTAGCACTAAAACAGACATTGAAAATGAAGTTGCCAAATTGGAGTGTATTTCAGACAGTTCTTTGAACCAGGGTGAAATGATGGTTTTGTTTGAAAAAGTACGTCAGTGTAAGCAAATTCTGCTAATGATTCCCAACACTGGTTTGTTACTGCAAAATGTCTGTGAATCCCTGTTCTTGTCAAGCATTGGCAATTACTATTTTTTAGGTCTATGTATATTTGTATGTATACTGTGTGATTAATAAAATACAAATTCATTTAATATTGTTACAGCATGCATAGGAGCTTTATGTTATGTATTTTCTAAATCATCAGATACTAATTAGTAGTACAACTACTTTCACAATCAGTATCTGAGAAGAGCCTCCAACACAAAAAGGTTGGATTCATTGACCTTGGATAATTGAATAATTAATTACATACCCAATATGGCTGCTAAGTCTCAGGGATTTTAAAAGCTCCCCACAAAATGAAAACAATTTAGTAATTCGTATGCAAAAGTATTACAGATTGATTCTCCATTTGATTCATCTTGTTAGGTAGGAGTTAGCTAGTGGAAGGAGTAAATGAACATTTCTCCCTAATAACTAGTCTCATTCACCTATCCCCTGGCCCTGAAAATTACTTTATGTATTTTGTATTTATATGTTTGTGTTCAAGTTGTTCCTCCCAGCACAATGTGAACTCCTTGAGGGTAGGAACTTCTTCATTTTTCTCTTTGTATCTGTAGTGCCTAATACATAGTCTTATAGAGACTTAATAAATGTGAAAGAATGAATGGATTGCGAAAGATTTCTCTTTTGATTTTTGTTACATGTTAGAGGCATGTTATTTTTTGTGAGAATGAAGTTAGGGAAAGTCTGGCTACTAGAAGATTTTGATTTGGAAAATCAGCTTCTCAAGAATGTTTTTAAGACATTTGTAAATTAAGGTATATTTATGGTTAGTATAGAGAGAAGATATGTGTCAGAATAAAAATTACGTTAACCATGGTCCAGAAGGCTTTCCTACTCTTTTTTTGACTTGTCCAAAACCCTCCCTTATTCTCTCATGCTCAGCCTTAGTCCCTGACCGACGTAGGTCACAGTGATCTCATACTCAACTGAATTCTGGTAGCACTTATGTCTGTATTGCTTATTTGGCAGTTAATCATATATTGCCAGTATTAATTTCTAGTTTTTTGCCTGCATATGACTATCTCTCCAACTGTAGTTTGTTTTTTTAAAAATCTACAGTAGCACTCCCCTGAAAGCATAGAGGGGGTATTGGAACTTTGACTCTGACAACCAAGACCTAGGTTCAGATCTCACCTCTGGTGTTTGCTGTGTGACCTCAGGCAAGTCATTAGGTAGTCTAGGCCTCATTTTCCTCATGTAAAAAGAGGGAATTAGACTAGATGGCTTCTGAGTTCCATTCCAGCTCTAAATCTTTGATCCTGTGAATTAATTGGTCAATTCATAATAACACCTGCTTCAAATATTCACTTTTTCCTTGCTTTCTTGAAAATTTATTGTGTTTTAGGCTATATTATGAGGAGAAAAGTTAGTGAAGGGGAAAATTGTACTGGGGGTTCTGTTAAGTGCTGCTGGGAACAAAACATTGTACTCGGAACTAGGTAAATGAAAAGATTAGGTACAGCTTCTAGTAAGGGGGTGAGATATAAACAGAGATAATTATAATATGCAATAATGCATTAACAATTACAAAACAAGGCAGTGTGTGAGGCCCCAGGAGGAAGGTTTTTCTTGACCAGGGGGTGCATGGAAAAATCTGAATTGTGCTTTAAAGGGTAGAGTACAAGGTTCTTGTAAGCAGAAATTATTCCTTTTACTGCATGGCATTCCCCAAAGCACGTATAGTTTATTGAACACACTACACATACCCAGTAAATTTTTGTTAGATAATAGAACTAAAGAAGGTATCTTCTTTCTAAGCTGAAAAAAATGAGCCCCGTGATTTCTAAAGTTCCTTCCAACTCTAAAACTTAATGATTCAAAAAATGAAAAGGAAATACAGACTATTCTCATTTTATGTTAATTTATCAGTAAAAGTCCTTTCTTTAGCCATTAGTTTTAAGCAACTTGAAATTTCATTGGACTTTACAATCAGAATTGAAAATGGATTGTTTAATTCTGTTCCCCCTACCTATTACTTGGTGTCATGCAAATGAGACTGAAATTAACCAAGAAGTAAAGGAGATGATTGGGACAACTAACTGTATATTCAATAAATAACTCTACTCTCAGCCTAAGAATAGCAATGTAAAAGAGGAAAAACAATAAATAAAATAAAACTTTTAATTAGAAGCAAATTTGTCAAATCTGCTCGGAATTATTTGTGTAGTATTAAAAATGTAAACAGTAATGAAAAACACGTTAATTTTTATGTTTTAATAGAAAACAGGATTCCATTTTCTTGTCACTCAATTCGAAATGTTTAATATTACAGGTAACATTCAACCAGCCAGACTTGGATCCTTCCCTTCAGGCCAGATCTGGGGCCTATGTGCATCGGCCAGTTTCAAAGGAGTGTGGAAATCTGAAATCCCAAAATCGGGTAAATTACCTCTTCACCGTGAAATGCTTTGTAATATGGCTCTTTTACATTGAAAGTATACAAGTAAAAATTGTAGGAGGTGATATTTTATCACGCAATTAAATCACTTTAAGAAATATGTTTGAAAAGCTTTCATCAAGCCAGTTTGCTGCTATGATTGATCATTTCCCTGAGTCTCTGAGGTCTCAAGTAACAGATTTTAGAGAGCTTTACATTTGAATTTTCTAGTGATAGACTTTATATAAAGTAAAGCCTATTAGGATTTATTTGAAGCTTTTGTTCTTGTGCATCCCTCTAAGTTTAGTGTCAAGAATGGATCCATTCCCAGAATTTCTAAAAATCTGAAGTAATATTTTTAAAGGAATGAAATTTTATCATACCATCTTAAGCCCTAAAATGTACTTGAAATACTTGAAAAAAAGAGAAGAATTACATGACACTGCTAAAAACCTTATCACAAGTTCAAAATTGAAACTAGGAGAGAGCCAGTGCCGCTTCCATTACTGGGCAGGCATGGTGGGAATTGAGCACCACATAGCAATGTTCAAATTACTACAGATTCCACTGCTTACCAGTATTTACCTCTCCTTCTGCCCCAGATCACTGAAGTGAGTTATGTGCTTCATTTTAGCACATGAAGTATGCACGTGTATAAATTTCTCTCTCTGTGTTATCAACTGAAGACTTAAAGCCAGATTATGCTCACAACAGAGAGGAACAATTGCTTCTGGGTTAGCTCAAAGCTCACTCTAGACTTTGTAGATTTCAGCAAGTGGTGACTGAACTGTATTTGCTGCTCTTCTCTTTTGAGGCAGTCACAGACCATAAGTTGACAGCTTATTAATTGATTTCTTTATAGAGTCAAGGATTTTTTTTTCTTAACTTCATGGACCCCGTTTGTATATAATCATCAGATTAAACAAATTATTGTTAGTTGACAAACTGAGTACTGGACAGTACCCCTAACAAATATGTTCACTTTTGTTCTAAATTAAGAAGGTTGTAATATCTATCAGCCAGTGACAATTTTCATGCTAGATCTACCTAATCATCCCCAAAGTTATAGAATAGCTGTTGAAAAATTGTGTCTGGGGGCAGCTAGGTACGCGCAGTGGATAGAGCACCAACCCTGAAGTCAGGAGGACCCGAGTTCAAATCGCACCTCAGACCAAACACTTGACACTTACTAGCTGTGTGACCCTGGGCAAGTCACTTAACCCCAAATGCCTCACCAAAAAGCAAAAAAAAGAAAAAAGAAAAATTGTGTCTTCACTCTAACAGAACAATCTTATTCTGTCTTGGAACACATAATATTCCAGTAGGACTTGAGTTTTGTTTTATTTTTTAATGAATTCCTTTAAATAGAAACCTATCAAAAATGTGTTGTTGTTGTTGTTGTTGTTGTTTTATTTAAAAAATCGAGATTTTGTTGAAAATTTGATGATTTTAATCATCTTTCAGTTGGTGGTATTAAAAGTTTTGCTGGAGCCAGATTCCCATTAGGTAATAGGGACATGAATCCTTTTCTTTCCCCCAAGTCTCCCTTGTCATACCTGGCTATAAACTCCTGTCCATAAAGTGAGATAATAAGAAAACTGACTTTAACAGAAAAAACCCCCACCATAGTAACAAACCAAAAATACCATCTTTAAGAAGTTATTTATGCTATTTCACAATGTAAGGTGTTGAGTTGAAAAGGGTGTAGAGGGTTCCTTTTTCTAAAATTTGATCTCTTGTTAGAGAATATTTTTTTAAAATCAAAATTTCTGAGTCCTTCTGACTTCGGTAATTTTTATGTTTCCTTTTAGGCACCTTTGAAAACAATCAGGCATGTCAGTTTTCAGGATGAGGATGAAATTGTCAGAATAAATCCTCGCGATATTTTAATACGTCGTTATGCAGACTACAGGCATCCTGACATGTGGAAAAATGACTTGGAGAGAGATGACACTGACTCTAATGTTGAGTTTTCAAAATCAGACAGTAAAAAACCTGACTCTCTGTACTTCTGTGAGGATGGGACTAAGTTAAATGCGCTCAAAGACTCTGTGGTATTTAAGACACAGTCTTCCTCATTAAAATTTAAGAAGTCAAAAAGAAGAAAAGAGGATGGTGAGCGTTCTCGCTGCATATACTGCCAGGAGAGGTTTAACCATGAAGAAAATGGCAGGGGACAGTGTCAGGATGCTCCAGACCCTATTAAGAGATGCATCTACCAAGTTAGCTGCATGCTCTGCGCGGAGAGCATGTTGTATCACTGTATGTCAGACTCGGAGGGAGACTTTTCTGACCCCTGTTCATGTGACACCAGTGATGACAAATTTTGCTTGCGATGGTTGGCCCTGGTGGCACTGTCTTTCATTGCGCCATGCATGTGCTGCTATGTTCCCTTGCGGTTGTGCCATCGCTGTGGCGAGGCATGTGGGTGCTGTGGAGGAAAACACAAAGCTGCCGGATGAAACCGGCTGGTGCCAAAATGAGTCTGAAGTCTTTGTTTCCAGGAATTAGCTAACTTGGATTTGTGGAGGCTTTTGGCAAGCGGCATGGCATCTGGCCTGGCGTCACGGGGGGCCAACCATGGAAGAAGCCGCAGAACTCGTCAGTTCTTGCCATTTCACAGATGCTAGCAGCCATGCTGGACTGTTTCCTTCGAGTGCATGGCACATTTTGTTGAAAGTTGTAAAGGATTATTTGAGAAAGGAAGCCATTTCTGGTTATTGGCTATATTATTATAAGGGTGCAAACTCTGATCCAACTAAAAAGGAATTAATTTGGCATTTTGTACATTTATGGCTTAGGTGATGGGGAGGAATCTTCAAAAAGAACTGAATGCATTTGACACATAATTAAACAAAAAATGCACTAGTGACGGTTGATTTCAAACTAAGAAAAGTTAACACTTGGCAGATATCAGAAATGAAACTGAAGTGCAACTAAATCGTTTATTAGTTGTTTTTTGGAATCAGTTTTATGTATAAATAACAAATGTTTATATTTAACTAAGTATAAGGTACGAATTATTACATAATGAACTTTTCTTCCCCTTCCCATTTCTATAGTAGATACATTTATATCTACTGTCACATTCCATATTTTGAATATTTAACTCGTATAGTTAGTTGCATTTTTATTCCACTTGAATGAATTGATATTTTCATCTTCATTTCCCTCCAACTGCAGTTTGTATTGAGTTATATCTGTACATTCTGGTAATCTAAAACCTTTTAAGATATTCTAATAGTCTTGAGTGACCAATTTTTTTTAAGCACAGATGTAATTGTCTGATGTTCTGATGGGAACATAACACTTATTTTTTTTATATATAAAAAAGACTGATTAAACATTATCAGAAAAAAAGTGGGGTTTTGTGTTGTTCAACCAGCAAGTTGTTTTCTTTTGGGGTTTCCTCCTCTAAAATATTTTAATTGCATTTACAAATGTTTAGCAAGTTAAAGGATATAACCAAATAATTATAATAGGATGTTCGTTTGAGGTGTCTCCAGCTATCATTCTCCAAAACTAGGATCGTGTTCAGCTGTTTTATTAATCTTTGGGCTTAATCCTAGTACTTGTTATTTTACCCCACCCACCCTCACCCTACCCCCATCCCCCATGGTAACATCACTTCATTCTGTTGCAGAATTTTATTTTTATTTGAACTGGCAAAAGCATAAATATATTGCATTAAAATGTGGTGTGGTTGAAAAAAAACAGGAAAAAAACTTAATCTAGTATATGAATGAAACATTTTATAAGTTTTTTTTTTCAAATCTGCTGTGTATTACTTATTGGATAATAACAATTGGATAATGTTCTAACAGATTGTGTAATACTCCAGGGATCATTTTTTAGTATGTTAGTAATTCATTTAGTAATCAATTTTTAGTCATTTTAGTAATTTTTTAATGTTACATTAAAACTCTAACCAAGTTGAGGGGTGCTCTGTGAAAGATTCTCTTGGGGGTTCGGAGGAAGGAAGAGGGACTAAATTTAGAAAAGAATACCCTTCTTTAGGGCCTAAAGAGTTATTGTAGGCAATGAAAGTAAAAAAAAATCACACTACCTTTTGAAGCTCCTTTTCTATGCAGGTTCTTAATGTCATGTATTTCTTTTTACATATCATACTAAAGCCTGTTACCTTCCTTTTCTTGCCCTAAGATCAAACTGAACAATGTATATAACACTATCTGTAAGATACTTTTTTTAAAGAAAGCATTTATATTTATATGACAGCTTGAACTGACAACATTGTGTACATAGATCATCTTGAAGTATTATTTCACATTGAAAAGAAGACAAATATATTGATAACTATAGAAGTTATGAAAAAGAGCTTCTTTCTAGTTTTGTACTAAAAATCATTCAGATGAGCTAAGTCCAAGAACATTAACACTGTAGCAGCAGTCTTAAATCTCATTTTTACAGTTTATATATTTGAAAGCTGCTACTGTGGATAATTTTCACCCATCACATTTTCAGCTAAACTTGATTTCCCAGAATAGACTGTTAACTTTCAAAACTACTCTTCATTGGTAAAATGAGAGTGATTGGTTTTTTTTTCCTCGTGAATGAAATTTGATATTTGTAAGTGCTTAGTTTATAATTCAGGTTTGAGCAAAGTGTGAACAACTGAAGAAAAGAACTTGCTGGCTATATAGGAAAATGCTGTGGAATTGTACTGTGTATATACTTTTGGAAAGAAACAAACTTAATTTCCTCTGTTGAGCACTAATCATCATAGTGCGACTCCTGTTCCTGTACTGTATTTTATATGCAACAGATATGCTTTAATATTTTTAATGAATTTGTGCATTAATATTTTCAATTTGTTTAACCACTTTGCTGCTACGATTTTGCCACCCCCTCCCCCTTTCTTTCCTTTACAATCTAAAACAATTTGCTTCATTAAAAATTATGAATATGGATGTTACAGGTTGTTATTTCATCCTGGGTCTTTATAAGTTAATACACCCAGTTTCTATTCCAATAACACGATAAACCTAGGAAAATCAATCTATGCCATAAACTAATGACATAATATATCTGGATCTTTATGGAAGGACAGATTATGTTAGCTAGAATGGTGACATGGAAACAGATACCTTTATCAGTCCATATGTGGGGAAACCAAAGTATAAGTAAATGATAAAGTATAAGTAAATTAAGAAAGGTTTATTTACACTGCCCCTTAATGCTTTTTACAATTGAACTTTCCTCTGAAAAGTTCCTTAGGCTTTTTGTTTGTGATATTGAAAGTAGAAAATACAACCAGCCAAGTAACATGGAAAGAAACAATCCTATGAGGTCTACCTGTGTTACCATTATTGAGTGATGTTTCCCTTGGCCTAGCCTTAAAGGGTAGAAGCGTTTGATCTCTGAAGACAGCTCAGCTGTAGCACTTCAGCGCCACCTGCTGGGATAACACCCATCCAGAAAAACCCTTGAGATAAGGGACGTGATAACACACCCCAGTGTTTACAAGTCAGGGACTATTAAGGAAAGGCACTTTGGCCTCAGGACGCCAGGAGTAAGAAATATTTAGAAAAACCTATAGTCGTTTTCCCCCTGTAGTGTCTTGTTGAAGCCTAGAATACCTTGTCATTTCCCTTTTTTTTGTCATTTATGGGGTATATAAACCATAAAGGTTTCATTTAAAAACTAATGGATTACTTAAAACTGGCAACTATAGTAAGCATTGAATTCCTATATGGACAGATATTAAACTAGTTCTGCTCTGATAATTTATTTCTTGGTAAAAACCTTAACCACAAAAAATTTGTGTGTTAAAGGAAGAATTTTTGAGAACTTTGCCAAGGATTATATTGTAGCAAATTCATTAGAGAGATTGTGTGTGTGTGTGTGTGAGAGAGAGAGAATGTGTGTGTAAAAGGAAAGTGATGGTTTGAGTTTAGTATTTAAAGGACAAAAGATTGAAATTCCCTAGTTTCGTTGGTTATGCAAACAGCTATACCCATAACTAGCTCTTGGAGTAACACTAAAAACAAGATGCACTTTCTGATTATGCTTAAAATATCATCTGTCATTACTAGGGGCTTTTTTGTTTAATGAATAGCGCAATAAGTTTTTTATAAATCCAGATAAGATGCAGAATATGAGAAAGGGAGGATTAAAGCATAGTATCACACATGTCCTGTTAATATTTGTTGAAACTCGATGACTGCATCCTGTACTTTACTATATATAGTATTGTTTAAAATCCAAGCAAATGGTCCGTTAAGCAAGCCTATAATTTTTTCCTGCATTAAAAAGAAATATATTTAAACATTGGCCCCTTGAATTATCTGAAGACACTAGTGCCCCTTGCTTTTTTGACTTGAACTTCAATCACTTTTCCAAGAAAACCCTGAAAACTCTAGCACAAATATACTATTTTTTTCTTTGTCCCACCCTGCCCTGTGATCCCCATCTGTCCTTGAGATTGAACCTTAAATTTTAAAACGATGCCATTGTAATGTGCTTTTCAAGCAATTTCATACATGAAATAAAAATAGACCACGGTGATTGATAGAAAGCAAAGATGTTAATAGGCCTTAAGCTACTGTTTGCCTAGCAGCCACGTGGTTATAAACTTCCTTATGCTTTGGTGCACTGCTAAATGTTACCCTTTGTTCCTGAAAACTTAAACTAAAAACTTTGTGATTAATTTTGAAAATTCTAAAGCATTATCTAGTGTAAAACCCTTTGTATTTGAAGCTGCACTATAAATGGTACATAGATTTTGTGAACACACTGCCTCTCCTTTTTGCAAATAGTGCCATTTGCTTTCTACCCTGACCTCAAAAAGTGCCTCGCTTGTATATTATTCCCATTACCTTCAACTGCTTTCTTTATAATGAGCAATGTATGATTTAGTTTAACTCATCATAGATGTATTTCCTTTTATGTATACGAATATATAGCTTGGTACTTTTCAGTATGTAATGTAAATATGCATATATAAGTTTGTAACTTTTGTTACACCATATTTGTGTAATGGGACATATCAGATAATATCATAAAACAGTTTGTTTTTAGTGGTTCCCACCCTGTAATTACCTGATTAAACCTATTGTGAAATTAAAAAGGGTTTTTTCTTAATGTCCTGGGCCTGTTTACACTGACACATGAGGTGTTAGCTAAAAGCGAAGAATAACAAATTAGAGTTTTTAGTCATATTTTTTAAAAGTTAAAATGTTATTTGAGGGTCGTTTGTTTTTAAAACCCAAAGTTCATTTAAACGTCACCTCAAATAACTAGTTCTTTCTTGATTATATTATGACGTTTTAAAGCCATAATGAATGCTGCATTTCCATTTACTGACATAGGAACAAATTACTGTTAATTCTTTAAGAGCGGTTTGGGAGCATTTGTAGCAACTTTAAATCCCAAATTGGCACCTTGTTCCATACCCTGTGTGCTTCTCAACCAATACTTTCCATTGTCAGTTGGCATTTATTCAAAAAATACAACCTAGTTTTATTACTTGCTTAAATAAAGTGTTATGGGGAAGAGTTTTTTTGTTTATTGTCCTTCTAACCCTGTGCTTTCATCAGTAAGGAAACTCCCAACTTTGGGTCATAAGAAGCTGCCTGGGATATTGAAAGGTTAAGTAACTTTAATCTTCCCTAATTCAAGGCTAGTCCTCTCTTCCTGCTACTTCTGAATTAGGAAAGTAAATCTACAATAAAATTCATGTAATACTTTCCAAGGATAAACTTTTCGTTTATGCATGCCATTGCTGGCATTTGAATATAGATAGTTCAGAATTGACTTCTTAGGCTTGTCTTGTATTATTGAATCTTGTTATAAAGCAATTTTTTGCTATTTTTATTCCTACGTTTTCATAAACATAAGACTTCTTTATCTAAAGAAAGTTTAATGTTCACCAAAGAAGTTGAAAACAGGTCTGCTACAATTTGACAATGAAAATGTGTTACAAATAAAGTTACTGCTTAAATTAAAAGTAATTCTTGTAAAACTTTTTTGACTGGCCTACCATTCAATTTTTTAAAACTTCCTTTAGATTCTCTCTTAGGAAATTCTAGGCCTGATCAAAGCTTTCAAAAAGTCTGACAACTTGGCCCTGAAACTGTTTTAAAAGACAAACAATAAACTTTCATGTTAAGCTTTACAGTAGAGGAAAAGCCATATTTAAGTGAATTTAATAGAATGTGCTTTGTTGTAATAAAATATTGTTAAAAATCAAGACTGCTGAAAAACACTTAATTCTTGCTATAATGAATCAGCAGGTGAAAAGAATGTAGTGAGCAAGTATAAATAGTATTGTGTGCACATTACCTTCATCCCTTCTCTCTTCTAAGAATGTTGAAGTGTGATATTTGTCATGGAGTGTCACCTAAGAATTTTAGGTTTTCATGCAGAGATGGTTGAGGTTAAAAGAGTTCACAGGTAATTGCTACTTGATCAAAGATTGTATGATTTAGCATTAGCAAGGATCTTAGAGACTGGTAATCTAGTCTTGCTCTCATTTTACAAATAAGTAAACTGAGGTCCAGAGAGATGAAATAGTTACTGACCCATCCAAGATTATACAGAGACTTAGAGGTAAACCAGGACCAGGACCCTGCCATGCCTAGTCTAAAGCTTTCTGTTTTACACAATGGATGGCGAAATAAAAGAAGTAGAAATTCCTGAAGTGTTAAACATTGCACATGTTTTTGAAATCTCAATGTATCAGTTGAGCTGATTTTTTTTCTTCTAAAAAATACTATTTGTCATATTGGATGGCTCTCTGGAAGGGGAAGGTAGAAGGATACTTTGGAAAACTATGATGGTGTAATGCAAATAAAATAACAATAAAATTTATTAAATAATGTTAAATTTTTAACATTTTAAGGAAAATATCAACAAAAACATGTTTTCAAAGTAGAAAGCCCAGCCTTGATGCTCCTCTCTGTTTACATCTGTAAATTTACGGATGTAAACAAGATGACCAAATTGGTTTCCTTGTAAGTGAGACTCTTAAACAGGATGTAGGTTAAACAGGGCCATTTAGTGTGAATTTATTTTGAAACCCAGAGTCATCATGGGATGATTTGGAATCTGAAGACCTAGGTCAAATCTTAGCTTTGATTGCTTACTACCTGTGTAAACATAGGTAAGTTAGACCATCTTAGACCCTCAGTTTTCTCTTCTGTAAATTGATGGGAGTGGACTGGATGATTGCTTAAATAGTCCCTGTCCTGTTTTAAATCTATGACACTTTCAACTTTGTTTACCTCAGACCTCTTTTTGTAACTGCATTTGTTATAATGGGAAGAAATTTAAAATCCCCACACGGTCTATCTTTACTTCACTCTCCTTGATGAGCTTTGGAATTGATACTCTACATTTTGCTCTTATGTGGTATGTGTTCCATCATACAAGCTGCCTCTTAACTTAGGAGTTCTTAATCTGGGGTCCACAAACATTAAAAAAAATTTTTTCATAGCTTTCACCGTAGTTGGCTTCCTTTGTGCCCCATTTATTTGATGTATTTAATAACATGCTGAGAAGGGGCCCATAGGTTTCTCAGACTACCCCCCCAAAAAAAAGGATTAGGAACCCCTGCCTTAAGGTTATGTTTCTCCATGTTGTCTTGGAAGTGGGCTAACTGAAGGGGCTTCTTATTCCTTGGGATTGATTAGAATCTCTTCAGGATTTTTATGTCATCAACAAAAACTTCTTATCCCACTCAGTCTGTAGAATTCTGTTTGAGGGAGGGCGAGAAACCATGCATAGGAATTCATGTGATAGACTTTGATATATTGCTATCAATTTCATCTTCATGGGACTGAGCTGTATAATCAGCTAATCAGCCTAGTTTCAGCTACTGACCTACCAAAATGAGGCCCCTTCCCCTCTAGGTTTTAAAATTTTGTTTCCTGGGCTTGAAGAATGTCCATCTGAGGAGTATGTTTTCTTCCCCACTCCCACTGTCCTTCGTCTTTCTTTCAAATTACCTATGAAGTCCAATTTGGAAAAACACCTGGAAGTTTTTAAGGGTTCAGGTTATAAACTCATAGCAATACTTTGAAGATGTCTTCCACACATCATCTGTGGACAACTCCAACTGGAAGAACCAAATATAATCCAGTATGTGGCAAAATCCATCGGGCTCAACTGTTCTTGGTAATCTCCAAAAGACGCTGTGGAACAAATTAGAGTCCAAGAGTCTTGCTGTTAATGGGTTGTTTTCTTTTGCCAAGACTAGAAATACTCTGCCTAAGGCAGTATTGAACAGCACTCCCAGATGAGTCATCTGCTGTGTACAATGTGCTCTTTTCCATAATGACGAGCCAGCCATGTGCTGTCAGTTATTCCAAAAAGCCTGCTCTTGGACCAGCATTCCAGTTAGTTTAAGGACCACTTCTCCCAAATGTTATAAAAGGGTGAGATTAGTATTCCCTCCTCCCTCAAGCTTTCGAACAGAGATCCAGCCATACTGGAAATGATACAAGGAAATCAAGAGGCCTATATTTTCAGAACAGTACTATTCTAGTTTAAAAGCAATTTCCCAATCATTAACTTGGGCTAGAATATTCTAGCCTCTTCAGTACCCAATAGAACACAGGGAGCCTTGTTCTGCCTTTGCTTTCCTAAGTATTAACATTCCAGGTTGAAAATCAAAGTCCATATAACCATTTAATCTTATTAAATGCAACATGAAACAAAAACTCCCTAATGTTCTAATCCAGAAAGAAAATAATAAATCTGCCCCAAGCCCTTATAGCATCTTCCCTGCTTCCCCAAAGCTGTAAAAGAAAGATAGCTGTCCTTGATAGTATATGTTTTAAAAATTCACATTTAAGCCATTTTTTTTTTTGTCATTTAAAAGAAAAATTCAAGACAGGGCCTTATAATAGGATGTCAGCCAATTAGCAGTCCTTTCTAGACTAGCAAAAGGGAATGTTGCTGGTAAAAACCAAACCAAACCAAACAAACATACAAAAAAAACACACACAACTGGAATGCCAAGGAAGCAATGCTATTGAGAAAACCTTGAATGAAAAGGATTGGTTATTTAGAATTTAAGCTTGCCATACAGAAACAGCTGACTCAAGGAAAACCTTCTAAATTCATCAAATATTAGAATTAAAAGTAACCTTTGAGATTATCTTATCCACCTCCCTTCAACCACATTTAACAGAAATGGAAACCCTCAAAAGAATTTTTTGGTGGGTTGGTTTTTGTTTGGATTTTTTTGGATTAATCATGTCTAACTCTTTATGACTGCATTTGGAGTTTTCTTGGCAAAGATACTAGAATGGTTTGCCATTTCCTTCTCCAGCTCATTTTACAAGTGAGGAAACTGAGGCAAACAGGGTTAAGTAACTTGTTCAGAGTCACATAGCTAAGAAGTGTCTGAGACTTAATTTAAACACAGGTCCTCCTGACTCCAGGGCCAGCCCTCTAGCTACCTAGCTGCCTACCCAAACGGGTTACCCAATATCAAATAGTTTATGTCTGAATCACTTCGACCAACTTCCAGGTCAGAGGCTCAGTAGAAGGTTAGTGTTGAGACTGGATAATTTTTTGAAAATGGCAAATCTGTCTAGCTATCGTTCTGATGGGGAAACTTAGGAACTGACAAGGTAGATGCTGTCTTATAGAAGACCTCTCCTTAAGCTTGGGCTTCCATTAAATAAAATGGAATGTTTGCAAAGTGCCTACATGTATATGTGTGTGTGTATGTGTATATATGTATATGTATGTGTATCTGTATATATGTGTGTGTATATATATATATATGTATGTGTATCTGTGTGTGTGTGTGTGTGTGTGTGTGTGTGTGTGTGTATGTATATAATCTCACTTGATCCCCACAACAACCTGGGAGGTTGGTGCTGTTATCTCTTATTTTACGAATAAGGAAACACGCTGAGAGAGATTGAGGGGGAGTAGGAAGGTGTGCTATGAGCCCACCATGTAGTAAGTGTATGTGGAAAGGAAGGATTCTTTGGACTGTTATCTGCCTGGAGTTATGTGTGCTCCTAAATTGTCATGGAATAGATGACATTAGGAAAATGAGCCTGCTGCCTATGTCTGTGAGTTAGTGCAATAGACATTAAGCACCTACTATGTACAAGGCTCTAAGGATACTAGGCAAAAAATATCATCTGTACTATCAAGGTGAATATTAGATTACAGTCAATTGAGAACAGGCATGTCATCTAATACCAGCAGGAGGTTTTAAGTAGGAAAGCGGGAAATTTTAAGACAAAGACTCAAATTTCCTCACCTATAAAACTGAGAAAATTGAACTAAATGATTTCTAAGGTTTCTGTCCATAGTACTAGCTAGCATTTTACATAGTACATTAGGGTTTTCAAAGTGCTTATGTACATATTATCTCTTTTGATCCCCACAACTCCCTGAGAGGTCAATGCTAAGATTTCCCCATTTTACAGATGAGGAAGTAGGCTGAAAGAGATCAAATGACTGTCAGCCCTAGATCCTTTGAAGGAAGGAAAAGGAATAAGCATTTTAGTGTCTACTATGTGCCAGGCACTGTATTAAGCACTTTTCAAATATTTTCATTTGATTCTTACAACTGGGAGGTAGGTGGTATATTATTCTCATTTTACAGATGGGGAAATTAGCAACCAAAGATGAAGAAGTTACTCAGGATCACACAGTCAGTAAAGTGTTTAAGGATTTGAACTTCTGCCTTCTAGGCTCAGAACTGTATTTTCAATGATCCCAAATGACTTGCTGCAACAAAAGTCCATCTCATTAACACCACTATGTTCTCAATGATGCTAGTTCCCTGAAAAATTCAAACTATAAATCATCCAAAGGGCAATAGAAAGATTCATGGTGACATTTAAATACACAAGCGGACCTGTAATCTTATCGATCAATATAAGTACCTGCAATAGGACAAGTCACAACCCATCACAACCCATAGATTTCTGCCTGTCCCAGCTAAGTCTTGTCCATACCCTCCCATAGTTCTGCCACAAGGGGTCTATCTAATATTCTGATAGCCTTCCTCAATTTTTCTGGTGTAAGGCTGGTAAGGAAACCAAAGGACAACAAGGAGCGTTGATTTTTGTTAATGATTGATTTTTTAAATTTGAGTTTTGGGAGATTTGGTTGAGTTTTTTCCCCTACGTTACAGAAAAGAGAACCATTAAAGAAGAAATATTATTGAACGGGACAATGACAACCAGTGAAAGAAAGCGAAGCTACTCAACTCTTACT